GTGTGTGTGTGTGTGTGTGTGTGTGTGTGTGTGTGTGTGTGTGTGTGTGTTTTAGTGGGAGTTGGAGTGGTTTGCTCAGCAGCGAGGTCAGCTAGCTGCTTATTAAGAAAACTGAAAAATGTTCTTACACTGTGCTTTTGTGTGCCATGTGCATTCATATATGTAGGTGTGCCTCAGCCCAGGATTGAGTGGTATAAGGACACGGTGCCTCTTTCCAAACTGGCCAATCCTCGCTACAAGGTCAGCGCAGCAAACGGGCTGACTGTGCGCAGGGTGCAGCCGGGAGACGGAGGAATATTCCAGTGCTTTGCTCGCAACCCTGCTGGAGAGGCTCAAGCACAGACACAGCTCTTTGTCTCCAGTGAGTTTCTCTGATGCATACACACAAGAATGGAAGCATGAATAGACAAACCTACATCAGCCTTGAATTCTGACTCTCTATTCACTCTTGTATCACTTCACTTCTGTACCAGCTTTTTCTTTTTTATTGTCACTTTCTTTGACTTTTTCTACCTTCACTACTAGCGCTGGAATTCAGCATTGTTTTGTTTCTAGATTATTTTTTGGGGGGAATCAATCGAGCTTCATGAAACTCAAGGTAAAATTGTTACCATTCTTGGGTTCCCCGAAAAGACGGTAGACGATTGAGCCTTCCTTTTAGCCCCTCAGTTCATCCTCTGTCTGAAACAACCTGTTTTTGCTCTCTTCCCTTGCCAGCTTTCTTGTGATTGACTTGTAAACAAAAGGTTTGAACACCATGTGGATGCGGCTGCTGTTCTCACAGCCAGAGCGGTGGGGCTAAGATTACCATACCAAGGATATGTTCTCTCACTGACATATCACAGGTCAAGACTAGAAACAAAATGCTGGAAACTAAGTATGCAAAGCAGTATGAATGCTGAGCTTTTAGCTCACAGGTTTAATATATTAAAGTTTGTCCATATACAACTATGACAATAATATGTATCAGAATAAATAAGGGAAAGCTTAATAGGTTTTGAATCCTGCAAACATCCAGAAACTGCCAGCTGTGTTATACACCTGAAATGCTGCCAACCTCTGTCTTTGGACCATATCTGTACAGATGATAACATGTTCAGTTAATAACATGTATTTGACTAAAAGCATGTCCTGTGGGGGCGTGTTCTCTGTTTTGGTCAAATGACTAGACAATAAGAATCCGTAAATACTTAAAGGTATTGTTGTGATCCCACTATGTGAGGAAATTTGTGAACATAGTACAAATGAGATGACGTAGGATTTTCAATTTATACCACAGGTGTATCTAATAAAGATCAAATCTTAGTGACCTTTAAGGTCAGAGGTCAAATGAATCTACTAGGAGGCTGAGGGGAGCCGCCAGTATATATATTTTTTATTATCATTATTATTAATTTGATCCCTCTACTTTGACGTAATGGTTTTTAATATGTATCAGGCTAGAAAGTTACATTCGGTTTAGTGAGAATTATGCTATAATTAAAAGTCTCCATGGAGCCATCCACATTTATGCACAGACACGTAGTGAATAAAGCGTCCATTGATCAGAGAGGGTGCAGTTGTGCTCAGGTAAACACTTTCATCTTGTAGCTCAAGTCTTTCTCTTTTCTCCTTATCCACAGTGTCCTCTAATGTTCATTGCTCTGCCTTCTGCTCTCTCGTGCTCCCTCTGTGTGTTTCAGGTGTGCCCCCCACATTTGCATCACCTCCCTCTGACCAAACAGTGACTGATGGCAACACAGCCTTGTTTACCTGCCAGACGAACGGAGCTCCAAAACCTGCTATTACCTGGAGGAAAGGTAGCAATGAAGCTCCAAGACTGAGACACCCCACACTGAGACACACACACGCACTGACATAATATATTTGTAATTAAAATGTGCTGACTTTTCTCCACCTCGAGTCTAATTTATTATTTTGTCCCTCCATAGGATCGCAGGTCTTAGCCAGCGGCTCTGTCCAGGTTCCCAGGTTCACGCTGTTGCAGTCAGGTGGTCTGCAGTTTCAGCCAGTCAGCTTCCAGGATTCAGGAGAATACACCTGCATCGCCTCCAACATGGAGGGAACCATCAACGCCACAGCTACGCTCACCGTGTGGAGTAAGACACATGCACGGACACACAAACAAATGCACATTAAACCGTTCAATATACATTTGCTAAACAGACAAAAACAGACATGGAACACTAGTTTATCCATATCTGTCCAATAGTATTAGTTCAGTTTAGTGAGCAGCTCAGTGATTGGTTATTGATGCAGTTGGCTGACTGAACTAATCATTGGATTTGCCAAGCAAGAGGATGATTGATTAGCCAATAAACCAATTGCTTGGCTGATTTTTTTATTTTATTTTTTTTGCATACATATAAATATATGTTCTGGCAGCTTTAGATTAAACAGGGTTCAATTACACACACTGTCAGATCCTTACTTCAGTTGAGCTGTGATATAAATGTAAAACGTATACCCTTCAATTTATTGGAGACACGGTCACATCACAAGTGCATGGTGACTGAGTTAGGGACATAACAGATGCTCTCCACTCTGCATGTGCATTTGTTTTTACACCAGCGCCGCTTTTCTCTCTCTAAATCATATGCAACACCTGAGTGGAGCAAAGCACCAGTAATTTGATTCTCAGCTGTTTTCCACAGCGTTATAATGTGCGTAGGTGTGGGTGCGTGCACGCTTGTGTGTTGTTTATCTTCCTGTAAACTAATTCATATCTCGTTACTGTTGAGGAACATTTAAATGTACACATTTTATACAGGGCCGTGCCTTGTAGTGTGATTCAACAGGTGTGTATTAATTGTATTTAATTTAAGCCTCAGAATGTATCCCACCTCTCTGCTCTTTCCAGATCGCACAGTCATTTCTGTGCCTCCAACAGACCAGCGTGTTATCAAAGGAACCACTGCTACTCTCAAGTGTGACGCTACACACGACCCCAGAATCAGTATCAGGTAACTGTTCCTCAGTGTTTACTACTGTGTCTGTAAAGGTTCTCAGTCATCCAGGTCATCGTAGTCAAAGGAGCTTGCAAAGAAAAGCGTCTCGACTTCTTTAAGTTGCTTGAAGACGTTTCACCTCTCATCCGAGAAGCTTCTTCAGTTCTAAGGTCAAATAGTGGAGAGTCCCAGATATAAACCTAGTGGGAGTATCCCCCCACAAAGGGACAAAAGGACCCTCTGATGATCCTCTAATGGCTCAGGCGATTAGAGGATCATCAGGGGTCCTTTTGTCAGGTTTATATCTGGGACTCTCCACCATTTGACCTTAGAACTGAAGAAGCTTCTCGGATGAGAGGTGAAACG